CGTCAAACTCCTTTCGGAACTGAGGATATGACAGGCTATGCAGAGGAAGGCTTTCAATATCTCCTGAATTGAAAGCTAGATTGCGTCAGATGGAATCAAACGTAACATTCGCTTCATTTCTATACTTAGTTATTCCATATATCATAGAACTATGTAAAAGATAGTTGCAGTAATCAGGGCTCACCGACATCACTCATACTAGCAGCAAACGCACTCAATCATCATACTTCCCGAGATCGATTGCTTCTTACTCTGTAAATTCTTTGTTCAAAAACTTGCTATCAAGAACCAGGCTAGAATAGTCTGTACAAAGTCAGAATGCCATATATGTCGTGTTACACCATCTGCACTATCCCAATAGTCTTGTTGGTGTTTCACAAAGCGAGCCTTATCTCAGGCCAAATTCAAATCCATGTGAATCTTTCCAGCTCCTCCACGTGTGCCCGTTGCTATGTCTTTTAGACTCGATGGAATGATTACTTCCTAAAAATGAGACCTGGCTCAGAGGTACAGGGGCATGGATCTGACAGATCTTATGTTTCCATGATATACTTCGATACCAATTGGCTTGTGGGTCCCTATTCATTCAATCTTTTCAGCCACCCGAGGACATCTTTCAACTACACTTTCTTCGTTCTTTCAACTCTACCTTTTTAGCTAGTATAGAATACGATGTACTTCGGAAATTGTTGGGAAATCTACCTCTTAATGGAGGATATAATCCAGCTTTATTATTGGCACATTACAACTAAAACATAATCTGTGAAAATGAGGAAAATGAGACAATGACCACTTTCAGCGCGAGAAACGGCATTTTTAATCGTAATAAAAGTCGGCCCCTTGACTACCCACTGCCTGCTAGTATTCCCACGGGGGAGAGTATTGGGAAGCACTTCTTATTGGCCTCATAGCTGAGTTGGTCAATCTTGGATTGAAAGCCGACGTATATCTCTGAATACCTACCAAATATGGGGTGGATCCTATTTGGAATATCGATCAGTCCCATTCTATTCAAGTTAGGTATTGCTCCAACGAGCATGAATATGGGTGAGCTGAGTTCAGTGGCTGTCCTTAGCCAGTTCATCCCCGAGGGTCAGACTAATATATCCAAGCTACGTGCTAGACATCATAGGCCCCTGATAGGTAGCGATTGTCGTTTCTCCGTTTTCATCACCAGGCCTAAATTACCAAGAGAAGGCCTCAGATTGATAGACCAGGCGCACTACGAGCTGGCCATATTAAAAAGTCCACATTATCTACTCTGTATGTTTATATCTGTTTTCAGCGTCGAAATCCGTGAACGGATCGCCCCGCCTTCCCCCGGCCCATTACCCAGATTTTGGCGGCGGGTCCCTTATTGTATCGTAAGAAAAGGCGCTTACACAAACAAGGATAAAAGTATATAGCACCAGAAATTTATATGGAGTTCAATCTGGTAAGATAGATCCACAGATAAATGAAAACGACTTGGGGAATAAAGCGAAATTTTGCCACTCTAAGCCGTCACGATCATGGGATCAAGCACGTGACAGCCTTGGGATCTGGGCAAAGCACCCCCATGTCATAGTTGAGTAAGATATATGACATTTGTGCCATGTTGTGAAATACTCAGTGAGTAGTAATCTAAACCGCCCTCCTAGAGTGGCGAAACCCTGAAAATTATGACCGTGGGCTAAAATCCGATACATATAAGTGCAGATATATATTGTCTGTAGATCATAGTCTCCAGATCAACATCAAAATAACCTCACAAAGTTATCTAAGCTCAACGCAACAAGGGTGATCCCAGAATCTGGACATCCACTGAAAATCCGGTGATAAAATAGCCGATACGCATCATTACCGGAATAGAGCGATGTGCAATTTTAGTGCGGGGGAAGAAAGCTTGGCTTTCGGGGGACTCTTCGAGAAACAAGACATGATCTAGAGCGATCTACGGAGTGCGTTGTACCTTTTTAGATTTAATTGTTTTGGGGGAGTTTGCAGTTTAGACCGGAAAAATAGGTGGAAAACCAACAAATGATCTCGAGCGACGTTCTATATTTTCTCTAGACCTTCTAAGAGAGACATCCGCGACGTGTATATCGTGATAAGAGCAATGGCTCACGAAGCCAGGGGATAAGATCAAAGCAAAATGGCCAAAAGACCACAAATTAAAACAAAACAGCTAAAAGCCAAAATCCTTAACGGGTATACGCTCAATGCAAATGCGTGACAGATATGAGGGAATGACCATCGCCGACCGAAAGTCCTCGACATCTAGTGAGGGGCAACTCGGTTGGCAATAAGAGTGAAACGGCGTGTCAGTGCGCCATGTGAGGGATGGTGGACATCGATACTCGAAAATATCGAGAGGGCAATGTCCGTCCCAAGGGATCCAAAAGCCAAAAAAAAGGGTTGAATAAATAAAAGACATCGAGCCTTGAGGAATGGAAGGGATGATTCAATAAAAGGAACAATCTCCTGGTGAAGAAAGTAGGTTCGGAGATAAGGGATGAATCGGGTGCAAAGATCATGCACAGACCTGGACGGCGACCAAGGCGCGGGCCAGATCTTCGGGCGAGAAAGGAAGGTGCTTTCTGGCGGACATGACGCACGGGGACATAGCGGGCGAGATGGCGCGAACGAGGGGCGACGAATAGCGGACCGACTCCTTCAGGAAGAACTTCTGATCCTTTGAATCCTCCGGGATCTCGTAGATAGAGCCTTCGTTTATAAGAGTCATCATTGAGCCACTGTAACTGGAGGGGTTGAGGACGGTAGAGGACTGAGAGCCGGAGTCAGCAGCGCGTGGCGAAGATTCCGCAGGGGCCTCTGGATTGGCGGCTATCAAAAAAATTGCGGTTAGAATTTTAATTTGATTGATATTTCGATTAGGGCTGGGAATTGCGTACCTGGATCGACGTCGACTGCATCGTCCGGAGACACCGAGTCGTCTGTATTGGAGCGACTCGGGAAATCGTAACCCTCACAAGGGTCACAGGGCGAGACGGAAAGTTCGAAAGAACGAGATCGTTCGACCAATGCACCTTCGAAGGACCAAGCGGCTAGACTTTTTTGGTGGGCACGGTCGAAAGGACCGCGGAATTTCGACGGGGGGCACTCGTGTCGTCTATAGTATTCGACCTTGGGCTTTCCATCGTTTTTGGATTTGGAATTGGATTTGGAGCTGGAGCGGAACACCCGCTTGACCTTCTCGCGGAACGTCATATTGGAGAAAAAGAAGAATTGTGAACAGGGAATATTCAAGATTCAAATTCAAGAAGTTCAGAGATCAATGCGGGCGGTTCCTGTCGAGGATGGCTTCAGTGCATACCACTTCCAGATTGGGAACGGGTGTGCAAGCACGAATAGCGGGGGTATTGAATCAGGAACGATTTTATCATTGAGAATATATAGAGAGGAGAGTGTAAGGTAAAATGGGAAAATTAAATGTGAGAGGAGGGATAAGTGGGAATTATAGTCGTAAACGTGGATGCAACGGCAAGAGATAAGGTGGGATTCCCCAGAACCGTCTCCGGTCCATATCCGGTGAAGACATTGGGGGCAAATTTGACAAAGACTGGAGTCTGTGCACTATGGACATTATTATCCATTTTCCAAGGTACTATATATTATAACCCATTTGTCTACGTAGTCATATTATAACATTATACGAAGTACTATATTGTGTAGCTGTAAGCGACATTAATTGGGGCGAACAACCCCGAACAATTGATCCGAGAATCAACCGAGTCTGGACTCACCCGTGGACACACAAGATATGTACAAATGTTCAGATAACGGTAACGAACTGGATGCTCCGGCTGAGTTAAGATGTCATAAGTGAAGTCAAATCCAAAAGTGGCGTACTGCATCGAAGGCTTCCAGAAAGACAGATCTTCTGTCAGCCTCACAGTTACATCACTTGCTCGCAGGTGTACTAAGAGGATGTGGTAATGCCAACACACCAACGGGAATAAACCGGAAACAGAGTGGATTCGATTGTGCCCCGCTTGCCGATTTTGCCGCTTTTCCCGGTTAGAAACTAGTTTTGGTTTATAGGGCACATTTTGGCTCATTTGCACAATAACAAGGCCGGCTGGCCCAATGGCAAGGCGCTTGACTACGAATCAAGAGATTGCAGGTTCGATCCCTGCGTCGGTCACTATCTTTTTTTAATTTTTGTTCAATTTATATACTCAATTTCGATATTTTTGTGTGCACAATACAATATTTATATACGATGACCTCATAATTTAGGATCAAAGAGAGAATTGGCATTATTTGAGATCCTATATATGCACGTAATAACGCCCCAATCCACTACTGCGCAGACATCTAGTGGGGACCATTTCTGACTCCATTGGTTTTCAAAGCCATGGATCTTGCATTGTACTCATTTTACTATTTATAACATTATATATTTTCATCATTACTATTTTCGTCTTTTATTGTGATCTTCTCAAGTGTTTCAAAGATGATGTAATCGCTGTTTACAGCCCTTCTCCACGAAGGAGTCCCCCAGTAACTCAAGAACACGGAATACTACCTTAGGATGCCTTTCCCCAGATAATCCTTGAGCCCCCCTGACTACCCTGACTACCCCTGAACGGCCCCTAGTTGTGCAAGGCACAACCCTATTTACCCGATGCAGATGTTAGGGCTGGCCCAAGCTCACACGACAGAACTATGAAAGAGACTGTCGCATGCGGAGGAATGTAAAGTAATAAGAAGAGAAAGGAATTCGAGTCTCAAATCTTTGATTTTGAAATTTAAAAAGCATTTGAATCTAATAATAACTAGAAAAACTAGAAAGAAAAAAAAAAAAAAAGGAAATTTGTGATACTTTTGTTCCATAACTGTCCTCACCACGGATCGAAGAACCCTAGAGAAAGAGAACATACCGCGTCATCCCTTGCCTTCTTCCTTCCTACACTTCACTACCATAGTAAGTTAACTTCGCCTTCTACCATCTTTCATCTCATTCTAACCAGCGCAGAATCACTTTAATCTCAACAATGGCTAAGAAAGGAGGAAAGAAGAACAAGAAGGGCAGCAAGCCCGTCGCCGCCGCGGTAGACAACGTCAAGGACGTGGTGTAAGTTGAAAAATTCAACATGCCACATAACCAACAATCTAACCTTGAAACTCTTCAGTGAACCCGATCACGAGACCGATGACCAGATCAAGCAAACCGAAGGCCAGACTGAGATCGAGCCGACAGAGGCGCCCGAGACTGCGACACAGCCCGAGACCGTCCCCGAGACCGTCCCCGAGTCCAAGGCCTCCGAGGTCATCCCCCTGACCGAGACCCCCGCAACTGAGATCCCAGCTGTGGCGGAGACCGAGGAGGTGGATTTCAAGGAGGCTTTGAAGGCCGAGAAGGCCCCCGCGACAGAGGGTACTGTCGAAGAGGCCGTGGAGAAGGCGCAAGCCTCCAAGGCTGGCCAGATGGGCGAATTGGAAGGTGGCGCTGCCGCAGGCACTGGTATGACGCACGTTAGTAAAAATGCGACGAATTCAACTAACCCGGAATTTGCAGCTGTCCTCCCAGAGACAACCACCCGGGAGCCCGCTTCGACTGCCGCGACCGGCGTTCCCGCGACACTGGTTGAGCGCCCCAAGACCGCCGAATCAACCACACCTGCTGTCGTTGCGCCCGAGCCTGTGGCCCCTGCTGTTGCACCCGTTGTCGCCCCCGTCGAGACCGATGCTGCCCACCCCAAGCGCCCGTACGAGAAGCCCATCTTCAACACCGAGGAGAACCTGAAGCCCCACAAGATGCCCAAGACCGACGAGGAGCCGGTCGCGACTAGCGTCGCCGAGGACAAGAAGACTATTGAGGCTTTGGCCGGTGTTGGACCTGCTTCGGCTGCTGCGCTCACAACCCCTGAACCTGCGCCTGTTCAGGCTGAGGCACCCACGGTTGCCGATACACCCAAGGTTGTTGAGGCGCCCAAGGTCGCCGAGGAGAAGAAGGTTGTTGAGGCACCCAAGGTTGCTGAGGAGAAGACTCCCGCCCCCAAGAGCACCACTGCTCAGTCCGGCGCCAAGTCTCCCTCATCTCCCGTCGCGGTCGCCGCTGCGAACGCTGCCCTCCTCTCTTCCAAGGGCGACAAGGCTGCTGCTCCGGCCGCCGCCCCTGTTGCCAAGGAAGCCGAGCCTAAGAAGCCCGAAGCTGCCCTGAAGCGTGGCGAGGAGCCGGTGCGCAAGGCTGAAGAAGCCGAGCCCAAGCCCGAGACCCAGGCCGAGCCTGTCAAGGAGGATACTCAGAAGCCATCTGAGACCGCCGCAGAGCAGGCCGAAAAGGCCGAGCAGGCCGAGAAGAAGAAGGGCGGATTCCTGTCCTGGTTGAAGCGCAAGTTCAAATAAAGTAATCGCAATTGGGAGAGCCGGTGTATGATATGCGTTGTACGCTAGGGGATGTTGAGGGGGCGCTTGCAGGCTATCTTAGGCTGCCTCAGGCTTTGTTTTTCTTTCTTTTGTCGGGCTTTGATGATACACCAGTTGAAATTATATATCAGAATCAGAATCATAGTGCTTATTATTTTTGTTTTGGGGTTTTGGAAGGGAGAAAGTAATTGTTCTCGGGGCGTCATTGGGCTTCCAAGTTTTTGTCAGATGTACACCGCTAGTCAGGCGTCAATGCGTACTCCGTACGGAATAGCTCCATCTGATATGTACATATGGTCTGATGGTCTATCTACCTTCCCCTGGCGAATCATCAGTATGCCTTTTCGCTTTGATGTAAACGCGTCATTGGTCAGGCTTCCTTCGATCTTTACGCCGAACTCAAATGCAACATCTCCCTATAATATCGAACAAGAAGAGACTTGTAATGAAAAAGAGACTCGACGCGAGGCAACATAATGAAAAAGCTTCCCGCCACACGATATCACTAATACAGTACCCTGTACTCCGATTGGCGCGTGTTGAGGATTGATGAGGCCCACGCCACGCTAGGTGGGTTCGAGGACAACCCCCCGGCTATGGTATTGCTCGGACTCGAATGTCGCATAGTGGGAGGGGGCATGATGTTGACACGATCATTTGTGGTCATCTGTAGGGACCCTTTTTTTCCGCTTTCAATTCCCCGGTACTTCTCAGCGGGGAAGAGGAAGAAGAATAAGACTGAACAGTGTTGATATAGCATTTCAGCAGGCATATATCAGTTTGTGACCGCTGGGATTTCCATAGCTATAACAAGGATTTATTAGTTTTCGCACTGACGCGTATGGAGATATCATGGCTTACCGGACGGAGTTTGTATAAGTATAGGAGGAAGAAAGGAAAGAATGAGAAAAGAAGCTCAAGGAAGGAGATGAATTTGAAGACGTGTATGTAGGAAGGTACTATGGAACTACTGCTCATGGTTGTGGGCTGTGAAGCTGGCGTCATCTTGCGTCCTTGGATGCAATGGACTGAATTGCAGGAGCCTCAACTATACGTTACGGCACAGACCGAGGGCGAAGGCATTAGTAGCCTTGACTGATGGCTTCCGTATCATTTCAGGACCGAGGAAGACCGGGTACATGAATGACCGGACTGTCCCAGCCTCTATTCGCATCAACCATAGATTGATAGACAACAAGAGTTGACGAGGATATAACATGACATTTCTTTCTTTCACGATGATCGCAAGGCTTCACGACGGCCATGCAAAACCCCAGGAATGATCTCTGAGCCTGACCTGAAGATATCCCCAGGTGACCGCGTCAGACCGCGTGCTAACGTCCTTTTTTCGACCTACACGGTTTTTCCTGCCGTCGTTCGCTCTCCGGAGCTGTCCCAGCCCCTGTCGCCGAGTGCGCCTTGTCGCTGAAACCCCGTTGACTTCACGATCGATTGGCAGGGGTATTCTGGGAGCCTTTGTCTACCTGTTGATGCGTCTTGCCGTTTCACTTTTGGCTCTGTGCCATAGGATGACTGGCAAGCAGCGCTCAATTGACGATGCGCAGACATGCCGTTCCCTAGACAATAGCAACATAACTTTGCGATGTGGCTATTGGACCAAATGAATGAGCAGGCCAGTCATTCGTGCAGTAGTACCATACACAGTCCATCAGTCACAGAATCGATTGGTAGATAGGTCTCGTCTGGATGCCATCATGCTGGAGCATTGCCCTGAACTTGAGACTTCTCCGAATGAGTCCATCTCAGCTTACAGGTTGAACAACGCGTAATCGGTCTGACGAGAGGTATAGAGCCGTGTACCTCGCACGTCGTCTTTGTGGAAAAAAATCCAATTTGATCATTTCATCTCCACCAAGTGCTCAGCTTTCCGTTCATTACCCACTACGTATTTGTTTCTATCTCTTCTACTGGTTCAAGTTAATATGACCTCTTTTAAAGAGAAAGCACACGAACTCTTGGGTAAGAGACCTTCTACAAGCATGATTGAGTTCGCTAACTTGATATTGCAAAGCTTCAATCCCTACTGGGCCGTGTGAATGGCCTAAAGTGGTCGTATGCGACTCTATCGTTTCTTCCAAGTTAGGCATGCAGGCTAATCCCATAGGTTTCGGAGATGATCTTGCTCTATTGAGCTCCGCTTCCAATCCCACCGTGATCCATGTTGACGAGGGTTGGTGCCGTGATGAGACAAACCAGCTTAGTTCCGATGCCGACACTGAGATCATGGCTATACCGGAATTCTGGGCGTTGACTGGTGGAAACTTCACCGTTCCTGTATATAAAGGTGAAGCGGTTCCAACTAGATCGCCAGTCTGCGAGGATCGAGAAGACCTTCGATCGTTCGAGCAATCAACCCCGAACTGCTTTCACCTGGATGGCAAAGCACCGAAAGTGACCGTATTTGGCAGGGTATCTAACTCACGAGGGGACTGCATCTCATCATAAAAAGCTTTAGTGTGTAGACAATCGGCGTTCCGACAGTGGTCCATATGATCGTAGATCGCGGCTAGTTCATCGCTTATGGTAGTAGATATGGAAGGATCCCAAGCCGAGGCTGTTTTGTCTAAGCAATCAATTCCATTCATGTGTGTTGCTATCGTTAGTATGATAGCCACAAATAGCCGTTGGCTAAGCGTACCTATGTCACTATTTGCAATCTCCTCAATCCTTGTAGCCTTAAGATCAGAACAATTCTTCAACGCGTCAAACGAATTCGGTTGTTGATATTTGGCGGCCAGAAGGATTTATAGTCAACAGAGAGACTATTCAAAAGGCCTTGCTTACGCTAGGTTTAACCTCCAATCTAGAGGATTACAAACAAGACGATACCCTCTTCGCACGAGGCGTTATGATCGTCCCATTGAAAGGAGTAGATCCAAAATGCTTCCTCGCCTTTCCCAAGATGCTCCAGGACGATAACAGCACTAATGTGCCTACATCTGGAAATTGGCCAGACGGAATTATGATCATTGAATCGGCTGTTACAGAGTGGTAAAAGAGGACCAATCGGAGACACGACTTCGTTGGACAAGTTTCTATCAAACTTTATACAACGTGGCCCCCTTCAAACTCAGAGTACGCAGGTCGAGAAGACTTCTCTTGAAGGGTTGTTCGACCAATGGAGGGTTTTAATACAGATCCCAACCGTCGGAGCTGATCAGAAATGTGTGGGAACATAGACAGAGGATATGATTTTGCACGATATGGAGATGCGAACAGTCAGCATATCGTCCAGATTCAAGGCAACAACAGCCGATACTGCTAATGTACTCCTGCTAATCCCACCGAAGACAAAAAAGCGAATAGGGAGGCGCCAGCGAGCTGAGAACCCCCGTCATCATGCGTGGACGATAGGCTCATGGTTTGAACGTAGAATGACTGAGAGGTGCCACAGAAGTCTTTATGGTATGCTGCATATTGCATGCCATACCATGTACTTCTGGACTACTCTGTCGGCAGTTTGGGGTCGTACGATCAGCAGAGGCAAAGGACCGGCAACTAGCGCCCACACGCATCTTCGGTAGCTTGTATTTCCCCAAGAGCTTCAGGGCCAAGAGAGGTTCCGATATGGGGTCTACTGTACGGCCCAGAGGGCTTCTGGACCAAAGTGGCCCAACGTCGATGGTCGGAAGGCTTAATCAGACGTGTAGACGTGGTGTCCAGGTCAATCAGATTTATTGGCCAAGGCACGAAGATCGGGACCAGAATTTGGACATGCGTCTAGCGAACAGAATCAGAAGCCAGAGGAAACTAGCCTTGCAGCCATGCTGGCCCTCGATCCGTGACTCTCGAACCCACTCTCCGGAAACTGGTGGTCACTTCGACTTAAACTTCGCCAGTATCACTGAGACCCTGATATTAACCCCCAACAAAATATTGACCTGCTTGTAAGTATCTCATATGCGGGGCTTGAAATGTGGGCGCTTTCCTCCACCTTCCAATAGTAGATAGTATTAATACTAGGCCGGAAATAAGGATGGATTCTTGGGAACAATGTACTTGAGTAGATATCGGACACAGTATAGTCGTCAGGGGACTAGCATAGTCACAATAGGCAAGGTACGAGGCCAAATTAGGTCTGAGTCGTGCGGAATAGGTCTGGCTACTGTAGATGTATGTGTTGGTGGGGATGGTTATGTGACCAAAGAGGGTAGAATCACAAGAATAGTTGATTTCATGTTATGTGACTGAAGATGCTGTTTTTGTATACACGGCCCGCAACGAAACATTTTGGTTCTTCCCCAACTGGCTTAATTTGATCTTCCACATATTGCTCACTTCCGATGCTGTCGAAGAAAAACATCAAACCCACAACATTAGCTTCGTCTCTTTATCCTAATTCGCGCCCCAGAAGGCGGCATCAGAGCCTCGGCCATCCACCGATTCGCAGGTCTCTGTCCATTATACTCGGCCGGAAACTCGACGTCATAATTCATTAGAAGATAGGCAACAATCATCTTGACCTCAAAGTCAACCAGGAACCTACCCGGACACGAATGGCCTCCATGTCCAAAGGGCAGATGCTCCGGCGAAGTCGACACAAAGCTCAGATTACTCGTGATAGACCTGCCTTTTCCGTCTCTGGGAGCCTCCTCGCGGACCCGAGAGAACCGAAAGGGATCGTACTTGAAAGGATCCTCAAAGATTTCGGGATTGCATTGGAGCGGACGACCCAGGAAAGAGATGTATGCGCCTTTGGGAAGCTCGATTCCATCTTCTGTCTTGATCCCCTCGACTAGAACCTTGCGGAAGACCCCCCGGTTGGTGTTTGAATGCAAACGCATGGTTTCACGAGCCACACTGTCGGATTTGATCATCTGTGCGACTTTGTACTTGGTCCATTTGGTGTTGCTGTCGGGGCCGATGATATCGTTCACTTCGTCTCGGAGGACGGAGATGGTATTATATTGCGAGTTTGAGCTGACGATGTTGAGTATCATGTTTGTTACAAGCAAGGTTGTCTGATGCACGGCCGCAAAGTTGGCAAAACACAACCGTCTGGACATGCTGGGGAGATCGTGCAGTTCGCTGGGTCGCTCTTTCTGGGCGTAGCGGAGCATTTGCTGGAAGAGATCCTGCGGTTCTTCGCTATCAGGCTTTCCCGCGCTGTTTTGCTGGCTCAATGCTTGTACCCGTTGGCGATAAATTGGCTCTACTTGTTTCTTAACTTGTTCAATGTTCCGACGGAGATTCATCGTGACCAACGGGCCAATAATTGGGCGCAGAAGACGTGGAGTAGCGCCGGTCAGACCGCCGTTCATCATTATCCCATCATTGACCTTCCAGCAGGCTCGAAGATACGCTTCGTTGCGGCCTATCACCGTCCAGTTAGAAAGGGAATACTTCAGTGAGAAAATAAAACGTACAGAGAGGAAATCCAACAGTAAATCGACTCGCTGCGGCAATAATGACCATTCGAATTGTCTCCAACAAATCGACTTCTTTCCATGACTCCGTTTCGCATCCAATATATCTATCGAATGCATACTTCAATTCCTCATTCATACCATCACAAACTGCCTCCAGTTTGGAATTGATATCCGACTTGACAAGCATACAAGGCCAGGGATCGGCTTTGTATTTTTCATGGCCGAGTGAGTACTTCAGTTGAACAAGTTCCAAGACCGCGTCGGCGTGACTGAGTTCCTTTTCAGGACGGGCCATGATATCCCGCATTGTGCTTTGAGGCAAGACGATGTCGTGGCGAAATCCAAGACCAGGGAGAAGGACTGTCTTGCCACGTTTGGTGTACTTGATTCAGGTCAGTATCGCTGTCAATAATAGTGTAGAAGAACGCACGTTCTCATATGTTTCTTTGTATAGAGCCTCGCAGTCGGTATAGTAGCTCCATCTCGTTCGCCAGCTGAATGTTCTTTTCCCATCAGGCTCACCAGCTAGTGGGATGTTGGCAGGATATTTGATGGCAAAGAATGCTTGATAGATAAGTAAAGCGCATCCTACTAGAGCAGGAAGGATCACTGAAGACCATGCCTTATACTCTTCAGCAAAAGACTGGGAGAAAGTAGAAGCTCCCATCTTTTTTTTGGAATGGGGACTGTCTGTGTTGCTTGTATTGGTTCCTAATTTGTTCAGATACCGATTCTTCGAGCAGAATGAAAGTCTTTGGGACTCATGTGAGGGCAGTGACTGGAATATTTAGCCCCATAACTAATACCGGACTAGAGTTACTAAGCTAAATACAAGCTAGCGTTTGCCAACAAGAATACCCTACCACGACACCCCGGCCGAGAAGGGACGCTAATTCATGCACATTGTTTTACTTTTTTGGCGAGTCATACCAATACCAATATAAACTAATTGGACTGCCAGTATATACCGGCTTTTTTATTGGGTGGTGTTAAAACTTCTTCAACCTTCGGGGGATCCTATAAAACCCCAATGCTACTAGGTAGGCTAGATTTATATGATGATTGGCTATACCTAGTATTGTGATCCGTATTTCGTAGAGCTCCCAGGATCAATTGATCATATTTAATTGATATAAATATTCTAGTAGTATGATACTAAGAGATCACCCAAAATCATTCTACCATATGTTCTACTACATATTCTTGATCATCTATTGATATGGATCTCATATCCTAACTATGCCTAACAGCGCCTTCGTACGTACTAAGCGGTCAATCCGGGATCCCAATAAACGTCAACTACCCTGGGTATCAAGAGGCACATTTTTATTACTGGTGGTGTGCATGCATTAGCGTCCCTTGCCGGGTTGTCGTGGTAGGGTCCAATTGACAACGTTTCTGGTATCTTCCGACCGAATCCTGGCCGATAACGGCGTGAGTAATGGATGCATGACTGAGGCTTGCAGTAATCCACTCCCATACATGACAACGGCCTCCATCAAACAATCCGGTGTGTCAAATAAATGACAATGAATTCGAGATAAAGGCCTGCCTGCTGTTCTGATTACTGAGAATTTTCCCACAACCTAGCTACAAGAATGTAAAAAAAAAAAAATAGGATTGAATACTTGACATTTTTTGCCCCAGAGTGTTTGTGATATGTTTACCTATTGCCATAAACTGTGATCGTGTCCATATCGGTTGGGAAGTACGTTATTGCTTACCTACGTCTATGTAAGCAACAAGGCTCATTTTGGCAGTTCAAAGCTTGGTGTCTAAAACAGAAGTACGTGCAGACAATTTTTTTCTGAAGGATGCACTATTTAGATCCACCGACCCAGCGACTAACGCACTTAGCCCAATGCTTAGTGCTTACTATTTGCACAGACCCCTAACCCGTGCCTTGACTGAACCGTCACCTTCCTTGGGAAAGGCGAAGCCACGCGTATAGTATACATCAATATCTTTCTGTCTCGTTTCAAATAGCTCCATATCTAAGGATGTTGCAACCCTTGCGATACCGAGGTAGAGTTTTGCATATGCCAGGCTAGAGATAAAGAATTAGCAACAGTTCCA